GGTACCAGCCATAGGCCCATTGTTCTTGTGGCCCTTGTGCACATTCTGGCTGTTGTGCACTTGCTCTCCTCACCTCTCGTACCCCACATGCTTTCCCGCTTCAAGCTCTCTCCAACTCTATGGTTCTTTTGATCTACTCCTTCGGCACTACTGTCCGACTCCTCCCCTACTACTCTCCTACTGTTCTCCTCTCAAGGGGCTGGCTATTGGGAACTACACTATTGTGCAATGGTCTTGTGTGTATTCTAGGGTACCTCTTTTCGGCTTGTGCATTTTGTCTGAGCGGGTTTGGGCATCAGGCCGGGCCGTCGGTCCTCTACACTCTGACTTCTTCTGATTCAAACCCATCTTGGTTTTCAGCTTGGTCTTGAGCTGTTTGCAGCTGTATGGCATGCTCACTCCTTCGTTGTTGATGTCATCTCACTGCGTGATGCCGGATCCAATTTCTTGTAATTCTTGTTTGTGATTCCTGCTGCTGAGCTGTTGCCTGTGGCAGCTCGTTTTCAGGAGACTGCTACCTCCGTTTGTATCCATCTGAGTCCATTGGGGCTCGAACCCGTGATCTGTTCCCCAACGGTTACACGCGTGTACCGTTCAGTCACATGGACTGGGCGAATGCTCTCTTTTGGAGTTGGATGCTCTCTTTTGGAGTTGGATCGATATAGGTCCGGGGATGAGAGACCACTGGGTCCATATCTCAGTTGGTACACCCACAAACTGTTCGGTCCATATCTCAGTTGGTACACCCACGAACCGTTGGAATATGAATCAGACCTGAGTTCAAATCCAGATGCAATTAAAAAAAAAGGGTCACGGGGATCAGTTCGGATTGATTTGGTGGTGTGAAGGAGGTGGTTGCAGGAATCTCTTGGCTGTCTCGGGTTTCGGTGACGTGGCGGGGTCAGGGAACTGTCCCTGGCATGATGGAGGCCTGTGCCACTAAAAAGGAATGAACATGGCCTCTATTGCGGCCACATTCAGTGCTGTGGCGGGGTCACAGAACTGTCTCATGCCAAGGGACGGTGGATTGTAAGTTTGTAACAAAGCCTTTCAGAGAAGAATTATAGATTTTAGGATCTGGGCCCAGGGGGGGATGCTATGTTCATGCTAGGAGAGTACAAACGTGGCCTCTATTGCAGCCACATTCATGCTTTTCAAGCATGAACATAGTACCACTGGGGCCTGCCCTTCCTGTCAAGGAATGCGTGGGGAGCGCTTGCAAGATCTAGCAGATCCCTTTGACTCTCAGATCAAGAGGTGGAAAGTGATATGTCGTGCCCAGCTTTACCGTCGTCCTGTGATTATAATTGCTGTGCTTAGAGACCATCCGCTGATGATATCAATTCATCAATCACACGCACACACACACAAAAAAAAAAAAAAAAAAAAAAAAAAAGAGCTCAGCTTGAACAACAGAATAGTCACATTGTCGTTGCCCAACTGTTCTTTGGTGGCAGATCAAGGGTCTTGTATATCATATGGAGCTTGCAAGAGGGGCATATCAGAAAGATTCCCGGGGCTTAGCGCGCATGTCAATGCTGCGGCGGAGCCGAATTCTTAAATTCGTGAGCAAGGTGAGCCCTATCTTTTGATTGAGACTCTGTGTGTGCTGATTGGGAAGTCATATCTGGCTGACCGTCTTCCGCCGAACATAACACATGGCCGTTATAGCAGTGTCATACCCTGCATTTGCAGCAGAGTTTGGGCCAGGTGCAGATGTGATGGGCATGCTGCAGGTTCAGGCAAATCCCAGTCGTGCCAATCTGAAAGCCTTGTTGGTTATGCTTCTCCTGTTAGGTCAGAAGACTCAGAGCGTAGCATAGCGTATTCACGGGGGTGTACTTGACCATAATTGTGGCCTGTCCTGGATGTACCTGACTGCAATTACGTCCAGAAGTCAGTCAAAAAGGTCTTGGTGTGAGTAGTGCCCTCACAACAGGGTAACAATGACTCAGAATGCTGACAATCCCGTAGGATGAGCGAAATAGGTATTCCCCCCCTTGCCGGTCGCTCAGAATGGATGGATGGGCAACCCCCTCCACGCATATGGAGGACTCGTTTAGGGTGTGCTTGAAGTGGCTTTTCTAAGAAAGTACTCGATTCAATGTGCCCTTAGCATGTAGATTTTTCTGTGCACAATTCCAGTGAATGTAGAGATAGAAAGGGGGTCAGATACATCCAACAAAATAGTTTTTTTTGAACGTGCCTCGACTCCCTCAAGTAGTTGAGTCTTTCTGCGCGTTAAGCAGTTCATTCCTTTGTGTTGCATTCATCCACCCAACCATCTACCCATCCGTCTTCCCTGGCTGCTACCTTCCCTTCCACCACCCATCTGCCACATTCAGACACGTACCTGGCCATTAGCCCCGTCATTATCCATCCAGCTGTCTGTCTGTCTGTCTGTCTGTCCATCAGTCACTGTGGTTTGGCAAAATGCAAGGAGTCAATGTGGTCTGTTTCTCCATCCATCCGTCGCTGGATGGGTAGCACTGTTCATGATATGGTCGGGCCTTTATCGTCTCCTTTGCACAGGCTGGCAGGACAGCTACCCTATTTCCCCAAATACAACACACTGCAACGCAGTCATTATCACTGCATCTAGACTGAAAGTTACCCCAAATGCAGCCGCAGCTATAATGACCATCAATTCTATTTGGGGCAGGACGGTACCTGTTATTCTTCCTGTGATTACTCTTTTGTTCTGCAGATGTCTACAGCTAACTGTTACTCTTCCCGTTGATGATTACTCTTCTGCTAATGTCTCCACTTCCCCCTCCCCCCTCCTCTCCCCCTTTCCCGCTTCCCCCTTCCCCCCTTCCCCCT